CCGCTGAGGCACCATCTCCGTCTGCGGCCGCGCCATGGCTTGCGCGCCGGGCGGCGGCGGCGGCATCACCGCGACGTTGGGCGGGAAGGTGAAGACGAGCGCCCAGCCCTGCCAGTATTCCGTCCAATCCCTCCGGGTCCCCATGATGGAAGAGCCCGTGGAGCGCTCCACTGAAGTCGGGCCCTGGCATTTCTCGACGAGAGCGAGCTGCACGCCGACGTTCGCAAAGGCCGGCGCGTGCGCCTCCACGGCCCTGCGCATCTTGATCGGCGCCCTTCGATTGTTGAATGGCATAAATAAAACAAATACAAGGGGTTTCCCATGAAGCACTGCTCGACGCGGTTGTGTGAGGGCAGTTTTGCGAGGTCTTCCGCGAACGCGGCGACGACGTCGGCGGGAACGCCGCGCTGGCTGAGGAACCCGGCGTCGAAGGGGTTCGGGTGGCTCATTCCATGTATTCTGGACCGCAGCGAGTACCCCGTAAAGTCCTGGATGAAGACGCAGACCTGCTGGGGCGTCTCCATCGTCGTCCTCGGAAACTCCGGCAATTCATCGCCGACGGCCTCCACCCCGGACCCGCGCGGCGCCGCCGGTCCGAGCATGACGCGCGTCGACTCGGGCGCGCAGTCGACGCGGTGCGCGAACTTTGAGTTCGCCCACGACACGCGCAGCCCCGGCTCGAGCGCGACGCGGATCTCGTCGCCGCCGCCGCCCGCGGGCGCGAGGACGAGGACGGTTTCGCCGGACACGGCGAGGTAGACGACGGCCACCTCGTCGGGCACCAGCGACCCGTCGGCGTAGCGGTCCGCGTGCGCGCGCACGGGTCCCCGGGCAGCCTTGCAGGGGACCTCGGTTTTGCCGCCGAGGAGCGCGCCGACGGCAGCGGGCACCGCGATGCGCCGATGGTCTCCGACTTTGGGAGCGAGTGTTTTGCACTGTTCTGCAGACAGGGCGTCGCGCGTGATGGTGTAGGAGCTCATCTCTTTGGCCATTCCTTCTGGTTATGTCTGAACTCGTTGACCAAGTTATTGAAGGGGGTGCGCGCCCGACTCGTTGAAACTATTGATTTATCGGAGCAAACCTCATCTTTCACCCTCCGCCCGCATGTATGCGCAGCAGCGTGCTCAGCGACGCCTCTCGAGGAGCGTCGCCGCGTCCGCGAGCGACTGCCATTTGCCGCTCACCCCGAGCGTGCACGCGTTGCCGTGGCTAAGCCGCGACGGGAGAGCTCGTCGGCCGTGCTGACGCCCTAAAAAACGATGCACCGCATCTCGAGCTTCGCGACGCTGCGGCCGCCGCCGCACCTCAAAAGGCCGCGACTCGTGAGCCGCGCCTTCCAGGCGACGGTGTCGCGCCAGCTCCGGGGCTTGACGACGGAGTTTTGCTCGACGGGCATGCCGAGCGCCTGGGGCGCGGCGGACCGGCGCGCCGCGGTCTCGGGCCTCTCGGGCGCGCTCTACGCGCTGCCGGCGACGGCGACGCCCTTCCTCTACGAGAAGGCGCTGTGGCTCGCGCAGGCGTGCCTCTCGATCCTCGCCGACTACGTCTTCATCGCCGAGGACCACCCCGTGCAGGGCGTCGACCGGACCTTCGCGTCCTTCATGATGGTGCGGAACCTGTCCGTGCTCGGGCCGGCCGTGCCGCGCCTCGCGCCGCTCGTGCTCGTGCCCGTGCTCTGCTTCGTGGCCGCCGCGCACGCGAAAACCGCGGACCGGCCGCGCGCGTGGCAGCTCGCGCACGGCGCTTGGCACCTGACGGGCGCGCTGCTCGCGTGGCTCTGCACGGCGCGCGCGCGGTCGCGGGGCGACGACGGAGTGCGGGTAGGATTCTAAAAGCCCGGATGCGATCCTAGAAGCGCGGATAAGATATCGTTTCTAGATGCCGGTCGCGGGGCGAAGGAGCCCGGATAGGATTCTAGATGGATGGGTTCTAGACGGATGCCGCCTAGACCCGGTCGAGGCCCGGCTCCGGGCGCGCGGGCGGCGTGTGCTGGCGGTGGAGCGCGCTGACGACGGCCGGCGACTCGGGCTCGTG